ATGTGGTGTATAAATATAAGCTTCGCTGTAGTCAGATTTGATTAAATTATAAGTTGATCTTGTAAGTTATTTCAGAGGCTATGTTTAATTAGGTGAAGAAGTAAGTTAATTGTTTGAGAGATGAAAGAAGTGATAAATTAAAGTGTTAAAGAAATTTATTAAAACAGGTTGAAAGGTTACAGAGGTTTGAAGAAGTTGGGAGTGACACCTCCGAGTTGTCTTTTACAAGGGCACTCACCATATACCCAGCTCTCATTGTTTTACAAGAAGTAGAAATACTCAGGCTATGTGTTAGAGAACTGTATTTATCTACTTCTTCTAGGTGTTGGGTATATTATTGTTCATAGTGTGTTTTTATATTTCTTGATAAATTTAGAGATACACCTTTTGATAACAATTTTGTACAAAATGATATTTAATTTTGTACAAAATAATATTCAATTTTATACAAAGTGACATTTAATTTCATACAAAATGTCATTTAAATTTGTACAAAGTGATATTCAAATCTGTACAAAATGACAATTAAAATAAGGTTGACTAAATCACGATATCATGTGATATAGTAGTTCAATGTAGAAGATTTTGGTATCATTCAAATCATCTCATCGAGAGAATTTGAATGGTACTAATATATTCTATATTAGACCACTATATCACAAGATATCACGATTAAATCAAACTTATTTTAATTGTTATTTTGTACAGATTTGAATGTCACTTTGTACAAATTTAAATATTATTTTGTACAAAATCAAATATTACTTTGTACAAAATTGAATATCATTTTGTATGAAATTAAATGTCCTTTTGTATGAAATTAATGTCAAAAGGGATATGTTTTAGAATACTATAAAAACTAACATATTCCTATTATGCAATGACAATAGTTGGCAAGTAATCATAACCTTACCTACTGTTTATCATAATAACTGAATATTTGACAACAAATTATATAATAATTATAATAAATCTAATATATATTATAATTACTAATACCACTACAATAATTGGTGAGTACAGTAACCAAACTTTTTATAGCATTTCTCTATATTAATTATACTTAATCCAAACAAACCAACATGTATCTATCTAAATTTCTTACACCACCATGTTAGTTAGAAGTACAGTAATTAAATTTTTATAGCTAATTACTATACCAATAGTAGCAATCTATTATAAAACAATATAGGTAACTCTATCTAAATCAACAATTCCACTACAATAGTTAGTAAGTATATAACAGAATTTTTCACAATGAATCACAATATCAATCATGACAAACCTAACACAAAGCTAACATAACTCTACCTAAATCATTCATACAACTACAATAGTCAGTAAATACAGTATTAACAAGTAATTAGTCACTGATCTTCATCATTTAAATTCTATCAGATTTACTTTTTGTACAGTATGTACAATTGTTAAATAAACTTTTCACTCTGTGCTTTGTCAATTGTTTTGTGCCTTAAAGGTTTTTTATTTCTCCTAATTTGTAAATTGTAAATACAGTCACACCCCTCTAAATGCATCCCGTCGGGACCATAGTGAAAAAAATTAAAATTTTGCACTTAGAGGGTGTTTGCATTTATAGAGAGTAAAATATATAGGACTCTTATAAGTTGGGGCCAACCTAGATTGTGCATTTAGAGAGGTTTTACATAGTACTTGCACTTAGGGGGTGTGCACTTAGGGGGGTGCGACTGTATAATGGAAATTGTAAATAAGGTATACATGGACAATATTACACGTGATTTAGCTCTAAATATGAACCTCATTGTAAAGAAAAGCATTGTCATTAACCTTTTTTTTATATTTTATTTTTTTCTAAATAAGTTATGGCTTAGGGTAGATTTTATAAAAGCTTCTTTTGTTTACAGTTAATTTGAAAATTAGTGGACACGTAATGAATTTTGTGATGATTGTCATCAAATTTCGGTAATTATTTTTTGGTAATAAAAGCATAGTTTTTGATAATATAATTTTCGGCCAGTACAAAACATACTACGATAATATATCAGCTGAAAATTATATTATCGAAAACTATACTGTTATTACCGAAAATAATTATCGAAATTTGGATAATCATCACAAAATTCAAATCAGTTGTAAATAATTTTTTGTATACTCGGTAAGTATAAAAATTATTATCGTTGGTTCGATTTAGTTGAATTTTGATTAATTTATGCTATCACAGCCACGGAGATTAATCACATAATGAACTTGCACTGCTATTGTAGTTGAAGAGCTTAATTGCCAAACATAAAATTCTTACTGCCTTCGGCAGTTATAGAGTCTAATCACAATTGCAGCTATGGAGCCTGGTCACAACATAAGATCCTTGCACGGCTATTGTGTTGCGGAGCTAAATCATTAAACATTAGGTTCATGCACTGCCTGCAGCATCCGTAGAGCATAATCTCAACATGAGGTCCTTACATTGCTATCGCAGTCACGGTGCCTAATCACAACGTGAGGTCCTCGTATTGCTATCACAGTTTTGGAGTTTAATTACCAAACATGAGGTTCTTGCACCTTGCATTGTTATCGAGCCACGGAGCTTAATCATAACGTAAGGCCCTTGCACTGTTATCGTAGTTGTACTGCCTGCGGCAGCCATATAACCTAATCATCCTTGCATTGCTATAGCAGCCACTGAGCCTAATCACAACGTAAGATCCTTGTGCCGCTATCATGGTTGTGGAGCTTGAAAAAACTTTTTAACGTTAAATCGACTTCGGAACACTAAAATAATTAAAAAAAAATAACAGAAAATGAAAATCAGACTTCAAGTATGACAAGTATTTAGCAGAAACCTTTAAATTTTGCTAAATATGTTTATAATATAACTAGGCGCTTGAGTTGTTTAAAGGGAGTTAGAGATGAGTGTACTGTATTGTATTATACTATTGCAAGGACCTCATATTGTGATCAGACTCCATGGCTGCCGTAGGCATTTTGAGTGCTGTAAAGAAGCAAATAATATGGAGCATCCCGGAAGATCAAATAACCTGGAAATTGCTATAAATGTGGAATTGGAACAAGAAAATATGAAAAGGCATTTATTTGTTATCAAAGATCTGCAGAAATGGAGTATGTATTTGTTATCAGCATAAGGTACGTATGGAGTATTAATAAATTAGAGAAATTTTTTCTATAAAATTAAAGAGTGTATCACAGATAGCAGAACCCCCCTAGCGCACCCACAAAAATTTTCCCCTCCCGTGATTTTTGGCCAATCAAATTTCAATATTAGGTGTAACATAAACAAACAAGCGAAACATTTTTTACAAATAAACTGAAATAACTCGAAATTTTAATTAAGAAACCACCTTCTGCGGCCTAATTAAAATGTTCCTTGTGAAATTTTACCAATATCAATAACCCTAACTCTAACCTCACCCTACACTGTTCTCGCTCTAATCCTAATTATAACACGGTTTTTAAATTACGGGGTAAGAAAATTTTTGTGGGTGCGCTACCTAAAATCAGTTAGTAGCGTGACCGTTACCCGTGAACCGTTAAAATAACCTTTCCATCACAAATAATAAAAAAGTATACAAAGAACGCAAGCTCGTAAGTAGGTGGGTGATGCTCTAAAGGTAATTAGTTCTGATAAAGAATATCAAGTTCAATAAAGAGTATACTAGATACAGTAATAGAGAATAGAGTACAAGAGTAAATATATATATATAAAAAAGCACCATGAATGTTTTTCTTAATTCGAATATTCATGGCAAATATTTTGTTGATCATAGATCATGGAAATATTCTAGTAAAATAAAAAAAGTTCTTTGACCAAAATTTGTAATACTCGTATTATTGTTCACGCTCCTTTGAATTGACCTGATAAATGATGGCATCAACAAAATCCATTGCTTTACCGCACTATTAAACAATTTTTATTAATTAATTTATTTTTTCATTTTATTTTTATTTTTTTTGCATCCTATATAAATAAACTCATATTCAGATATGTCAACACTAAAGATATTATATATCATCTTTAATGCAGCCTAAAAGTCTGAGAACGGTATCGAGGATTTAAAATCACCATCATGTTTCAAAAAGCTCAAAAAATAATCAAGACTCATCTTATAAAACAAGCTTTTATAATTAAACACCAATTATTTTTTATTTGTTCAAAATTTCTTCGATTAATATTGGTTCAAATTTCCAAATACGTAAAAAAAAATGGAATAAATCTAAAAAGCAATTTAACTACATAGGTTTTAAAGAATCAATACAAACCACTTCTATTCCTCTTCAAATTATCAAAAATGTTAACTAAATGAATTCTATTTTATTTAAGAATACTATTTATATTGTTGATCATACTTAAAAATAAACAAATTGATATATAGCAAATATAATTACATAGCGATTGGAATAGTATCAGTGAGTGAAAATTTAAATGGAGGATAGAATTCTAAAAATACAGCAAGTTATCCTACTGTCTTTAAAAATAGAATCTTTAGTGTTATGAACTACGTTATATTCACAATTTTTCTTGACTTCATTTCTGGCTTTTCTTAAATTAGAAATTTAGAAGGTAAAATTTTAAATGAATAAGCACTGATTCCCAATTAGTAAAGAATCTAATAGGTATAAACCGTTAATCTATGTTGTAAAGTTAATCTAGAGCTTTAATAACCCTATTTACTCGATACGTTGCAAGATGTTGCAGTATAATGCATTAATTTCATTGAAAATTTATATGGATTTTGAATCTTAAACGACTTAAATGTAAACAGAATTAATTATATATTTATATAGGATATTTTGTACAATTTTTTTTATTTTGATTTTGATTTATTTTTTTTTTTATATTTTTTGTGAGAATATTTTAACAATTAGTGGAAAGGAACCTTCAATAGTGTTAACTCATCCAATAATACCGAAATACTCGTTTTTAAGTAATAATGAAAGCTTTGGCGAATATAATTTCTTCTATTGATGTAGTAAAATTTATCTTTCTGGAACTTTAATAATTAGGCTCAATCCATTGAACCAGGAGTTTCAATAACTTCAGATGAAATTTCGTTTTCCTCTTCTTTAATTTCACGTCTTTTTGAATAAGCGATTATGACCATGGCGTAATAGATCTACAGAAATCAAAATTTAATTATTTGAGCTCTATATCGATCCAATTTGGCAGATAAAAAAAATAAATAAATAAATAAAATATACCATAAGAATAATTGTAAAAACACCTGTAAGTATTAGTGCTAATAGCATACCAAAATACTCGATATTACAATCATAAATTGTATCATTAAGATTGACCCCATGTCGAGATTCACTAATTTGGTTACAAGAGTCTATATAATTGCTTTTATATGAAGCAAGCACAATAATAATATAAAGAAAACTTAAAGTTCTGATTATTAAATAAGCATAAATGAATCGAGAATAGAGTCTTAATAGATATGCTGTTTTCTATAAATATATTAAAAAAAATTTAATTAAACTTATAATATAGAATAATAATAATAATAAACAATCACATACCGCAAGGAAAATAACAAAAAATCCAAAAGAAGCAACTAAGCACAGCAAAGTATCTACAACTATAGCAACTGTATATATTCCTTTATCATAAACTAAACACAATTTAATTAAAATAAAAAAAGAATAAAAAAATCAAATAAACAAATAAATTAATTAATTAATAAATACAAATATAAAAACTTACGGGGAGCATTGCCTATAATTTTAATTATATTAAGGAGACTAAAGATTATATTATAAATTGCTGAAATCTGAATATTAAATATTTGTCAACGAATGTGTAATTTGAACAATTAATAAAAAACAATAAAATCTAAAAAATACTTTCCAGCAAAATAATAGTAATAATAATTACACCAGTTCTCAAAGGAAAACAAAAACAACAATTAGCAATTGTTTTCATTTTCGAAAGTTATGTTAAATTAATTTCTTTTCGAATGATAATTTATAAGCAAAAGAAATTAAATAATTCACTTTGGCTTAATATTACTGTTAGGATATTTTTTTTTTCCTTGTAATTAACTAACTATAGCTCAGTCAAATTTTAATACCATTCCAAGTTATATCTCTTTAGCCTGAATTTATTAGGTAAACCTGTCACACTGCTTTTCGAATATTATGTTATCATTTATATATGCTGGAAATAATTAAAATTTAGCTGAATTGACTAGAGTGATGATGATACTAGCAACTTGGTTGTACTAAGAGCTGCCGTAACATCAGTCGTGATTTTCTATCTACTAAAGAGGAGATATGCTGAGTCATGTAATAACGTCCAAATTGTAAGGCTAATTGCTTTTTCTCTTTTCTTTTTTCTTACACGGTCATTTACGGGATGATAAAAAAAAATTGCCTTTTTTCAGAAATATGCTATAACTTAATGAACTATTGAATAAAACAAAGTTAGCCATTCAATAGTTACACAACTTATAATTAAGACAAATTATTTATACGTAGATTCATAGGTATCACATGGTTTCGCTTGCAGAGGTGCTTATCGCTCTTTGCAAAATAATGCGACAAATAACAATTTTGAATCTTATAAATTCTGCATTTTATCATTATTAAGACAATGATAATATGCAAAATTTATAGGGCTCGCGAAAATCATTTGTCACGATTTTGCATACATACTAACATTGTTTTAACAATGGTAATACATAAAATTCATAGGATTCGTCGCACTATTTTGCAAAGAGGGATATTTTCTATGTGCATTATAAAATTTCAAAAACATTATTCGTCCATAATGCATATAGCAGGTCTTAACTCTCCCAAATTAGCAGAACTTTAAAAATGTACGCTTAATTGAATTTGACAAGGAAGTTAAAAATTCTAGGAAAAAACTTAAAGCATAAAATATACATCTAACATTTGAAAAATTTTATTCCTTTAAAAATCACCTATAATTCTTCACTGGTGATCTTTTCGATCTTTCATAATGTATATAGTTTTTTAGACTTGCAATTTAAATGACAGATTTTATGATTATGTATAACTCGAATTCAAGCCTAATTTACGAAATTTAAATATAACGAATGCTACACGAGAATGTAATGATTATCTAATACTATTCTATCGACTATTCAATCTTACTTGCAAATAATTTCAACATTGTTATAAAATTTTTTTGCTATCTTATAACTATGTATAATGAGTATAATGGAAATAAAATATTCAGGCCATTATCGGTTAGAAAAAAAATATAAATATATATTTAAATAGAGAAATCTAAATGCAATCAACATGTTAAAACCATTATTAAATTCTCGTCTATGCATACCTATACTCTCGTTAAATGTATTCATCTGAGTTTAATCAAATTTTTAGTTAAAAAATTACTACAGCTATAATACAAGTTAATATGATAGCAAGTGTTTTAGTAATAATAATTGCTATCGCTTGTCACTGAAAATTCAGTGGGCATGAAGCATCGATTGATTAGGAAAGTAAATATGATAGGTTGAAGCATCTGTCACAAAAATTATAATATCCTTCCATGAACAAAGAGTAATTGACATTGTGTTTATTGTAATATCAGTTTTGGACACACTTGAATTTGATAAATGTTACCTCCATATATATATTACAGTGCTTTTCAAATTACTGTGTTCATCAAATCACACGGAAATCTAAAAATATTGGCAAATTTTGGCACTTTCTCATGAATAAATCTAATTAAAATGTCAGAAACAAAAAATTCCCAAGATTCTCCGTTATATTTCGATTCTCCAGCATCACTTCTAGCAGTACACTAGATCTGGTAGTTATTGAGACAAAGTAATATCAAAATTTCCAGAGTTTTTCTTTTTGTTAGTGGGAATTTTGATATCATTTCGACAAACCAGCTACCAGATCTAATGTACTACTAGAAGTGATGCTGGAGAATCGAAATACGTATAACGGCGAATCTTGAGAATTTTTTGATTCTGACATTTTAATTGGATTTATTCATGAGAAAGTGCCATATTTTCAGATTTCCGTGTGATGGGCGATCATTTGATGAACACAGTAATTTGAAAAGCACTGTAAATGATAAAATAAGCATCTGAAATTTAAATAAAGCGAAGTAAAGAATTCTTTTACTAATCTTACACTTAATCCAGGAGGTTTGACCCAGCCGCACAAAGTTGAGTTTTTGTCCAATTGGAAGATGTTTCAATGGGACTATCAAATTCAAGTCGAACAAATTTAAGAGGAATGATAAATACCCTACTATTTTCAACAAAGCTAAACACAGACGTAAACTTACTGCTAAGCGGGTAAAGGCAAAATGGATTTGATAAGTTTGCTGAAAATATGGGATTTCATAACTTTCTAAATATATGATAAATTTATTGGAACCACTTTAATGTAGTAAATATAATAAGTATATTTATACTACCGAAAATAATCACATTTTCTTTTGAACGAGAAATTCCAATAGAATTTAACAATTTGGGATGTTGAAATTTGGCTAAAAATGAAACTAGCAATATAACTAAATGATAAATCACCAAATAACCAATTAGGTACAGTACGTACATTGGTTCCAGCTTCAGTAACATTTATCGATCAAAATATGTTACTCGTATTTTGTCGAACGAATCCCTTTTCGCAAACATCTTCATTATATTATATTCAACTGATAAATAACATGAACTCAGAAAAATAGCTTATGCAATTCCAGAAAGGCATAAATACTGGTTCAGATTGTGATTGAAAATTCGGTCAGTTTCTTTAGGACATCTATTGCTATTGAACTCGGTCTTGTAAGATTGATCCTGTAGAATTTATATTTTTTTATTATTTAATACGTATCTATTTTACTTAATGCGCGCTAATTAATTAAGCAACACACACTTCTCATCGTTTTAAGTGTTCACACATTTTATTGGCCTAAATTAAATCATTATTTTTCATATTATATTTTTAGAACATATTTTGTAATTTCTGTTCCTGATTTTATATTTGATATATTTTTTTTGTTCCCCTGTAATTTTTGCTCGCAAATTAATTTTTCGGGTAATTAACTTTTTGTTAACATTAATATTCATCAACCAGTATGTAAAACCGAAAGCTTTCCATTATAATGGCAAAGTATGTCATTATCTATTGTTTCATACAAAATTATGGGGAATTTACAAATAAGGCCCCAAAAAAGTAAAATAATTACATATAAAGACCCTATTTTAGAAAATTTTATTATATCTCATGATGCAGTGAACGAAGTTTAATGATTTTGATACCATTCGAATCGTCTCGTCAAGGCGGATCGAAAGTTGCTGAAATTGCTAAATTTAAATTACTGGATTACGAGCTATTCAACAGTTTCTAAAATTTGTTTAAATAGTGATATCTCGTTATCCAGTGACTTGAATTTAGCAATTTTAGTACCATTCGATCCGCCTTGACGAGATGATTCGAATGGTATCAAAATCATTAAATTTTATTCACTGTATTAGAGCTTGTACCCGTATAAGAGTTACACGGACAACCCGGTTAACACCTGTCAACCGGGTCATAGCTATCGTTAACCGGGTGACCCGGATTAATTATCCATAAGGGTGATAATCGTTAAAATGTGACGTGCGCTTTGTCGGTTATTCAATCCGATTGTAAGATCAGCGTGTAACATATAAAATGCGAAAATAAAGGCGAAAAAAAAACCGAGAAATCGCAAAAAAACTCACAAATCTGCAAGAAAACTTGGCCTTTATTATCTGTTATTGAGTAAAAGTTTTTAGTTCTATGCATGAACAATACATTTATATCTAGAGCTATAAAGGGACTTTCATATGATTGACTAACACATAAGCTATGCATTATTTCTTTTATGCAGGGTATGTCAAATGAAGAAAGAATTTTAAAGCCAGAGGACTTTACAACTTTACGTGAAAGACTCTTACTTTGAAGAGATCTTAGAGAAATTTACTTGAGAATCTTGAATCAGGAAGATTTTACTTAAAAGGATCTTAAACCCAGAAGACTCGAAGGAAACCCAGAGGTTCTTACTTGAAAAAAATCTTATATTCTTGTGCCTTGAATTCTTTGACCAGTCTGATAGAAAATTAGAATATCATGATATTTCTGATATAGAGTTAAGTCTTCAAGAATCCTAAATGCAATGATCTTTGTTTCATCAAGCATTTTCTTTTTTTTCTCATTTAACTATACCTACCTAGTGTTCTATATAGAGCTACATATTATTTATTGAATACATTGAATAGCCAGAAATGGCATATTATGATTAAATAGTACATTTGAATGTCCTGCTAAAATAAGTCAAAGATGCCAACTGGCCAAATTGTTAATGATCGTCCCTGCCCAAATAAGTAGTTAAATGCAGTTTGATGTAATAAAAAGTATAATAATATATTCAAGTGGCCAGATCGTATGAGAACAACAATTGAAATTGCAAGATCATGTGATGGATTATAAGAGAATAAAATGTTGTAGTTACAGAATTGTATGATGATTATTAAAGAACAAGATAATTGAAGTCATAAAATTGTCTGATTATTATTAAGAGAACAAAATAATAATAGAAGTTGCAGAACCATTTAATTATTATTAGGAGGGCATGATAATTATAAGTTGGTTAGGGTTGCAGAATTATACGTTTATTAAGAGATAGTAATATTGTAGCAAAGATATAAAATTTAGATATCAAAAAATGTATTTAAACTGCTATTTTTGACTTGAATAATGTCTTCAGATCAAATTTTGAAATTTTTAAAAATTTGAAATCATAAATTTAAATTTTTTTGATCTTATATTTATTGATTTAAATTATCTTTAACCTACTATAATTACATTATAATTTGTAAAATTCTATTATTTTCTCTATACAGTACTAAGATTTTTTTTATTAATATATTTTTAACATTCAAATAAAAGTAAGAATAAATTCCCAAGAAGAATCAAGTCTTCAAAAAAGTCTATACACTGATGAAAGTGATAGTGACAATAATGATAGTGATATATCTTCTACAAACATATTAACTAGTACTAATTAAAAAAGAAGTAGGAGTAAAAAAAGCTTTGTTTAGAAATATTTTAAATTAATTGAAACAAAAGACAGTCCAACAGATGTATGCCAAATTATGATTAAAAAAAATAGAAAAAACAAAAAATGTAAAACAAAATACATCCATAATAATTTAACATCAATTATGATTGCCTATCTAAGATCATCACATAATATCATTATTAGAAAAAAGTTAAACCTGAAGTATAGCAAAAAAGACAAACATCAATATTCAAAATAGCTAAATCTAACTCTAACACTCCATATAAAGGTAACAAGTGAAAGAAATAATCAAAGCAGTTATCAAGTAGATTCTTCTTAACAATCAACCTTGAGTAGCACTAAGAAAAAAAGAATTCTGGCATATGATGGCAATAATTGATCTAAAATTTTATCCTCCTTCTAATAAATTAATAAAAAATAAAATATTATTATATTATTTAAAAAATATAGATATTCTTCAACATGAAATTGTATTGATGTGTGAAACTGCCATACTAACAGTAGATTTATGAACTTCACATAATAACAAAGGCTATATTAGAATTACTTATTACTAAGTAACTTCAGATTGGTCACTATATAGTGTGTTATTGTGTTGTGAGAAAATATCATATCCTCATACTTTGGAGTCCATTTACCAATTCCTTGTAAATAAATGCACAGAATTTAATCTTTAAGATAAGATCATATGTGCTATTACTGATAATTGTGCCAACATGATAAAGGCTATTCAATTATGGGATAATGTTATTTAACTTCTGTGTGCTATATACACTTTGCAATTAACTGTTAATTTTGCTGTGCAAAAAATTTACTCACAGACAATAAAAATAGAAAATTAGTTAACTTTTTTAACTCACCAAAACAACAAGAAAGATTAAATAAAGCTCAAATAATAGTAATAGAAAGAGACAATTCACCTTTATCTAGTTCAACTAATTATAAAGTTAATTATAATGTTTATTTAAAAGAAGAAGAAGCTGGTAAAGTTGATGATGACAATAATACAAACATTGAAAAAATATCAAATATTACTTCTAAACCTTTTTACCTAATTAAAGATTGCCTAACAAGATAGAATTCTAAATATCAGTCTTGGAAAAGTTTATTAAGATTAAAAGAAGCAATTATATGATTAGAGACTAATTTAAATATTTCAAAAAATCCAGATAATAAAAAAGATAGAAAAAAGCTTAAATGTTACTTGTCTAATAAAAATGAGTGTGAATTAATTGAAGAATTGGTTAAGATTTTTGAACTATTTGATTAGGCAACAGAAACATTTAGTGCTAAGAAATATTCAACATTGTCTATTGTATATCTAATCATTAAGCTCATAAAATTTAAATTCGCAGTAGACCCAAATCAGCCTTTAGATGATGTTTTTAACAAGAAATGTAGTAAATTTTATTTAAGTTGCTGGATTGTTTTAAGTAATTTATATAAATATATCAATTTTAATATTAAATTATATTTTAGAATTAAATATAGATAGTGATAGTAATAGCAAAAATGAAAAGAAAAATTATAACCCCAATATCTCTAATATTTAATCAATGACTGCTTA